ACACACACACACACACACACACACACACCCTTTACGAGTCTCTGATATGGAAATAACCGTTTCAAGCGGAGGATTAGAGTGACATTCCTCACTGTGGAATTCAAAGTCCAAGCCGTCTTTTAAAAGAGAGTCATCACCACAGTCAGCTGTGGCTCCTATTAACCGTTAACTGCCAATGCAGTGCTGACACGGGAGATTAACTTTTCATCCAAAGCTATCAGCTCTTCTATGGCTTCTTTAAGTCCAGGGCTATTCAATGAATATATTATATATATATAAGGGTGACAGTGGTGACAGGAAAAGGGGGAAGACAGAGGACAGACTTCCTAGTTTATAAGTAAATCCAATACTGGCAGCTGCTTCTTTACTGAAGGTTTACATTGTGAAAATTGAGAAGCACTTGTGTCTTGTTTATATCACAGCCACAAAGCACCAAGGCATCTACATGTTCTACCATTCTGTTTTTATCTCTACATTGATTCAAACTAGTGAGGCAACATTTGGAGATTAGTGTTAAAACTAAGGCAACTTTATCACATTTTTATGAAAGACATTAGAAGTTATAACATATATGTGTGTGTGTGTGTGTGTGTGTGTGTGTGTGTGTGTGTGTGTGTGTGTCCTTTCCTCCTTGTCAGGATATGGCTGGGTACAAGCAGAAGGTGATTTCTCTAACCAAGAGGCAGGGTCAGACATTTGGCTTCTATCTCAGGGTGGAGCATGGCGAGGAGGGTCACCTGGTTCGCTGCCTGGAAATGGGAGGACCGGCCGAACTGGCAGGCATGAAAGATGGAGACCGCATTATCCGGGTCAATGGAACATTTACTGATGCACTGTCCCATTCCGTGGTGAGTCGAGGATGTGAATTTACTGCAGTGCATTAACCAAATCAATAACGACTCCCGGGCTGGTGGAATAAATCCCGTGACAAGCAATTTTCCTCAGTCGCTTCTTTGTTTCCCCGGTGCAGGTGGTGGACCTGGTGAGAAACAGCGGACCCTCAGTCACGTTCCACATCTTGGATGAAGCCTCCTACAAGCAAGCAAAAGCACAGGGAGTAAACTTCTCCCAGCCTCAAAACAAACCGGTCACTAACGGTGTCGAGAAACAAGCTCCAAAACCCAAACTCTGCCACCTGCTCAAGTCTAGCTCAGGATACGGGTTTTCTATTCGCTCAGTCAAAGGTGAGGTCACGAGATAAAAAAACCTTAAAAAGATAAATCAAGACACAAATGTATCAACCACTATAGATAATGAAATATATCTATGTGTAAATGTAACTTTAAATTTGCTAAACATTGTTGAACAACAATTTGTTTTCCACAGTGTGGAAAAGCAGTTTTTTTAATATCAATTTCCTTGCAACTGCACATGTGTTTATAGAAAAGAAAGCAATGGTGCTGGTGCCTCATCATAAAGGAAGAGAATTTGATCCGTGAACAAAATTAATTTTTCTTATTTCATATTTTCTGTACCTCTCCAGGTGAGCCTGGTTTGTTCATGACGGAGGTGACCCCAGGAGATGTGGCTGACAGAGCCGGGGTCAAAGCCAACGACCGCCTGTTGGAAATCAACGGAGAGTCCATCGAAGACTACACACACGACCAAGTTGTGGACAAGATCAGGCTGGCAGGTAGCAGCATTATGTTCCTATTGGCTGATGAGGAAACAGACAAGCACTATAAGAGCAAGCATATGAAGATCGAAACCTGGTTTGCGACGACCAAGTACCTCCCTCACAAGCCGCGCATAATCAACATGACCAAAGGACCTGATGGATATGGCTTCTTGCTCAGGGAAGAGCCCAACCAAAGAGGCAAGGCCAATATCATATGTTCATTTGACCATGACTGTGGTTTTCATCGACAGTGAAGAGAGGAGGCTTTGTTCTGACTCATTTACACTGTGCAGGACACTTCATCAGGGACATAGACAGAGGCAGCCCCGCAGAAAGAGCAGCTCTGAAGGACATGGACAGACTGGTGGCTGTGGACGGCCAGGAGATGGACAGCTGCACCCATGAGCAGGTGGTGGAAAAGATCAAGCAGAGTGGCAAAGATTGCTGCTTCCTGGTGGTGGACAAAGACACGGATCAAATGTACTGGCAGGTGAGTAAGGATTCCGCTGTCTAACTTATATAAATCGAATCTAATATCCTGCAGACAATCATTACTATGTAATGTCACTCACAGGGGAGAGTGTCTCCTCTGCTTTTCTGGGAGGAGATGAAGGATTCACCACCCAGTTACACAGAGGCCATCAATTTACCTGCTCCTGTCCAACAACCCACACCAGTCCAGGAGAGGGAAGAGAAGCTCAAGCCAAAACTCTGTAAGATGGAGAGGACCTCAGCTGGGTATGGCTTCCACCTTAACGGCATCCAAGGAGTTCATGGACAGTACATTAAGGTGAGATAAGAGGAACATCCATTATTTAATAATCACACCTTCAAATCAATGAGGTATAAGTCACACTTTGTTTCAGGTGGCAAAGGGTGGAGTGGCTGACCGGGCAGGTCTGGAAGACGAGGACGTTGTGGTGGAGGTGAATGGAGTGAACGTGGAACAGAGTGCCCATGAGGAGGTGGTGGAAATTATCCGTAACAGTGGCAGCTCTCTGGAGATGCTGGTGGCTAAAAGGAGCGTCTATGACGAGCTCAAAGCTCAAGAAGTGGCCATCACGCGGCTGCTACTTGAGGAAACCTCCTATGTTCAAGTTCACAATCAAGAGCGCAGCAAGGAGGAGCAACATCAGGAGGAGGCCAGGCCTGAAACACCATCTGAACCAGCAAGAGAGCGGGTGAATGATCCTTCTTTTCAAATGTTTACAGAAACGATTTTGGAGTCTCTCCACCACTTTGGTCCTAACAACCATCGCATGGCTCTAGAAAGTTTGATATCCACCAACAACAGGTCAGCTAGCTAATGTTAGCTAATGAGCAGGTACCGGGGCCGTCGTAGCGAGATCCCATCAATACACACGTTCAACTTCGATTCAGTCTCGGGCGTCTATAATGACTTTTCACTCTGTTTTCATAGCATCAAATCACTCATTAATACCAAGCTTATTGGAAACGTGAACACTTGAACACGTCTGATAAGATACACCTAAAATGACAGAATCTTTTGTTTGGGCCATGTCCCGTCTGTTAACAAGGAGGAGGCGGGGTTTATGACCTTTACTGCAGCCAGCCAACAGGGGGCTTTGGCTTGTTCTGAAGAGCTGACACGTCCATCTTTTTACACAGTCTATGGTCTACACAACAGCAGTATTCTATATATAGCATTTAGCTCATAGCGCCAGACTACACCTTCAGTATAGCCTCCTAGCAATGGCTGTACACCACTGGTCTCGTTTTTGTAGCCATGAATCTTTACTAAGATCTTAAAATGACTTCAACATGTCAATCTCCTTTTATCCTTTTAAATACCAGGTGACACATTAACATGTTCACAGGTTGAAATCATTTCACTGTTTTTCTCTTTTAGACCTCGTCAGTGTCATCATCTGCATCTCAAGAAAGTGTCGACGAGAGGCTCTGAGATCTCACCCTGAGGACACATTCCCTGATTTGGCCTTTGTCAATTTAACATTGATCCATTGTGTTGGTTTTTAAATCAGCTCTGTGAGCTTCACTTCTTTCAATTAATATCACACAAGAGACAAAGGAAAACAGAATGAAGGCGAAAAAAGACTTCCTAAAATTCACTGTCACGTATTCACTGCAATTTTCAATCAAATAAGAAAAGCTGCATTAGCTTTATGGAAATGGAAAAGAACACAAACATGTTCCTGAAAACTATAGAGTATGGCGGTAATGAGATCTACTTGTTGATGAACCTGTGTGATGATAACTTATATCTCCCTACGAAACAAAACTGCTGCTAATATTTAATGATCTAAGAATAAAATTAATTTCTCAAATGAATGTAAACGAGTGAGAATTTATATGAACACAAGTAAATGAACACGTACCATCTGGATTAAGCTTATTTTACTTAAGTTTTTTGTTCCAAATGAAATGGCATTTATTTTTTAAGCTCACAAGTGAAGTCATATCTTTGTTTTCATTGACACCTCAGTGCGAGTGAAGCCGGGATGTGCTGTGAACAGGACAGCTCCAGTGTGTTCAGAGCGACTTTAAGAAAAATTATATTTTGACAAAAATAATCAAAATTTAAGAGCACACAGAATATCTGCTGGTAAAATTAAATTCTAATAGAATCATTGTTCTGAAAATACTTTTTTAATTCAACAGAGCACATTTCCAAAGCTGCTCCAGTCGTTCACCATCACCTGGATCCAACAACATTCCTGATTCAGGAATAAGCAGTCAAGACAATCATGTCTTGTAAACAAAAAAAGTCTGGATATCCTTATATTCCAGATTTAAAGTCGCCCTGTGGGCAGAGAGTCACATTAAAGAAATAGGAGATGCAGTGCAGGGGCTCAGAAGGTCATGTGTTTCTCTGGTGCCTGTTTATGAGCAAGATAAAGAAAGAGGATGCTGGACAGGGCGCTGACCAGGAAGATGACGTCAAACCAGCGGTGATAGAAGTTGAACTGCAGCTCTCCAAGAACCTCAGTCACAATGGAGCGATACTCCAGCGGCATGCTCATGCGCATCAGCAGTACAGATGATACGAAATACATCCCCTGTTAGAGTGAGACACAAGAAATGTTCTGGTTTGTCTGTGGCCTGTCAGCTCGGAGTTATTGGACAATAAGGACACAAACACACTCACCATTATCTGAGCAAGGACGAGCACGATGACATTGGAAGACTTGCTGCTTGATATTGCATAGAAGAACTAAAAACAATTAAAACATTAAGTGTTAAAAGATATCTCAGTTATATTATCCACAGGATCTATTCAATTACATGTACCAAATGATAGACTTTACCTTAGTGAGGGTGATGAGTAAGCCACGTATTGATGTAACGATTATTATTCCCACCAGGATGAAAGAGATGTGTTGAGACCAAAACTTAACCTGTGAAGTGTAAAAAACAATGAAGAGGGAAATTACAGTAGAGAAAGAGGGAGTCAGCTTTGATTTTACAGTTATTATTTATTCATTAAGAGAAATAACATGCTCTTAGTGTGAGCTGTAAGAAGTCTATCAAATAATTTGTGTCGGTGGAAAGAGATTAAAAGCGATCATGACCGAGATAACTGCAGAGAAAGCCTGCAGAGAAGATAATGGGCTGGCAATTATCTTTACAGGAGGTCACACTGTGTGAAACGTGCTCTGTTCCTGCAGGTGTAGGTGTGTAGGTGTGTAGGTGTGTGTGTGTGTGTGTGTGTGTGTGTGTGTGTGTGTGTGTGTGTGTGTGTGTGTGTCTTACATCAAACTGGATACCCAAGTAGTTCACAGTAATTTCAATGCCCCTCGTCACTGGATCTGTCTTCCCCACTCGGTCAAACACAATGTTTATCGTGGCCTATGACAGAAAAGACACAGATTTTAAAAATAAATCATTTTATCTACCTCTTTGACAATATATACAAACACAACAACAATGATTATGTAACTTGGGTGTTTGAAAAAGACAAAATGCATAAAAACCAGTTCTCACCATGAAGATTTTCCAAACACAATAGATGGAAAAGAAGTAGCCGAGGAAGTTGAAGTATTTCCCCTGGAATGTCTTCGAGTACTCAATTCGCTCCTTATGATAAAGGAAGGCGGTGTTAGCTAATCATTTATCGTAGATACAAATGAGGTGATTAAAATGGGTGTGGTGTGCACAGATAAATGTGTGTGTGTGTGTCTGTAATGCAGCCAGGGTTTGAGGAGAACACTTCTTAGAACAGTCGTCACTGGTGGTTTTAACTGTGTTATCAGGCCGGGGTTTGAACAACCACTGATATGAAAGATATACAGAGACATTTTTAGAAAAGAAGATTAACTGACTAGGTACTATAGACCAGGATATTGGAGGAGATCAAACAACAGTGAAGGTGAAGTTTCAACACTTTATCAATTGAGATATGATTAATGCTTTGTGTTTTATAGGTGTGACAGAACTCCATTGTAATCAACACATAAAAGCACATGTCACTTAAGTCCTTTTCTACCTCTATAATATTTTTTTCCCTTAATATAGACATCCTGCTGTTTTGGCATTAAGAAGAACCCTGATTGTACATGCTCATGTGTGTTACCTTGGTAGCTTGCAGGTCCACAGTCTCCAGAAAGAGTTGCCGACTCAGCTCTTCCAGAGCATCGACTTCCTGCTGGATCAGAGAGAGGTCTGGGGGGGAGGTGGTCAAGGCTTGTGTCTACTACATATACTGCAGACTACTAGTCCATAGTTATCTCATAACAATAAGCAAATTGTGACCGGTTAGTCAACATGTTGAATGTGAGGTTAAAGGATACTTTCACTGCCTGTTTGGGTGGAGGTAACACTCTTGATCATGCCCCAAAATCCCGTCTGTTTGTTCTGGTCTTCTCCACGTTGGTACATCTGCCTCCGCGTCATAGCGATTCTACACACACACACACACGCACACACAGTAAAAACACTTAGAACAATGTGGTGGCACAATTCTTTGAGTCACTTCCTTCACAAAATGTATGGATTTTGTTACCGTTTCTTCTTGCTCACAATCATGTCCATAGTTTGGAGCAGCCGCCGCTCCAGAGCAAGGATGTCGCTGTCTGTTACATTTCTGTAACCATAAAAAGATGAAAATGTCTTGAGCTTGTGTCCAATCACAGATTAAATTTCAGGCATTTAAACAAAAAAACTTAAATTTCAGGACAAGAGAACCAAAAAAGAGCAAAAGTGCTAACTCATTTCTGGTTATAGGACTCTTTCCTGAAGCACTCAATTCTGTGTTTCTAGCATTGAGAAATCTAGAGCAATAAAAAAGCACCTTTCAGAGACAAAATAATATGTAACCGTAGTAATATGAAAGTTGTGTGCATAATCAACAAGTAATTATTTTGTTTTAACTCATTTAAGAAACAATAATCTACAGAATAATAGTCTCAAAGCAATGACCATGTATACAGCACTAAAAGCAGGATAAATGAAGTCATTTGCAGAGATACATTTTTAAAATGACATCACGCTAATGCCACATATTGAGCTGTTGAGCAATGACTGAGTGTAGCAGACTTAGATAAACCGGCTGTGTGATGCAGCTGTTGGTCGTAAAGTCAGAGCTCACCTGAGGAAATAGGACATGTACGTGTAGGGACAGTTAACAGCACCAAAGCCAGACAGTAGAGCCATGAGAGTAACGCCGATCACACCAACTCGACTGATGAGCTGCTCGATGGACAGGATGCCTGAACAAAAGATAGAGAACAGACTGAAAATAGCAAAAACATTGTTTCATCTGCACCTCAACAGTTCCCCTTACATTAAACAAGAAAGAACAAGAAGCACCTTTACCATGTTTGGGACTGAGGATGGGAAATGGGTCTCCCAACTTCCAGAAGAAATACATGAAGGTAAACCACACCATACAGGCGAAAAGAAGCTTCTGTCTCTGCACTAAAAAGACAAAGAGCATCTGTTTTAAGTTTAAAATCATTCCAACAGCATCAAACTTTTTTTTTGTATGACAGTTCTTACGCAGGCGTATGTTGCTGACAACAAAGTATCCGATGTAAAAAGGCACCACGAAGATTAGAACCAGCAGGATCACGTACAGGTTCAGTTTCCAGTGGAAATACCTGGAACTGTGGCAAGAACATTGTTTCTGTGTAAAAGTCTTCATCAGAGATGATCAGCAATATAAGACAGTTACATCCAATAGAAAATGCACTTACGTGCTACTCAAGGCCCCCAGAATCTCAAAGATGATGAGCTCAAACATGGTACATGAAAAAGCAAAAGTGACGGAGAAAACCACTTGGACGACGTACTGTCGCACCTGTCAGTAAACACAGGAACAGACCAGTCAGCACCTCGATGACATGATATCCAGAGGTTGTATTGAGCTTACAATTTAAATTATGTGTGTTTTATAATAATTATTGTTATATTTTTCAGAGGCCACTGGTTTACACATGTAACCAGTGATGAATGATGTGGAATAACACTGTACCTCATAGTCTTTGAAAAGTTGACGCATAAAGAATAACCAACCAAATCCAAAGAACAGCACCTGCCACAGATTACATGAGAAATATATATGAAAGAAGATCAGGAAGTAGAGGATCAGATTGATTAAGATATGTTCATTATAAAAACTGTGTTTTCCTGTCATCAAGCTGGCAAGTTTAGTAATGAATGTATGAATGTAACACACATTTATATATATATATATGGCAGAAGTATTATCAGTTTAGTTTTAGTAATGAAAAGACACAAACAGACTGGTTCAAATAGACTAATGATGTACTTTAGACCTTTTATTCACATCAGGCATGTTGACATGTAATAGCAGGAAACTGTGTTAGGGATATAATAACATGATATAATAGCAGAAAATAACAATAACTATATATAATATAATTCATTGACGGTATTTTCACTCCTGAGTCATGTCAACACGTCTGCTGAGGAAAAGGCTCTTCTGCTGAATAAACTATTTAACATGGTGAACTCTGAGATGAGTTATTGAGTCTCTGTGCTGCAGGAGAACAAGCAGCTAGCTCCACAGCATCAATGAAGCAGTGAGCTTTACCTGAGAGGTGAACATGATGACTGAGTCCACCAGGAACGACATGATGTCTGTGAACCAGATCCGCCTTTAGTCCGTGAAACACTCGCTGCACAGATGAAACGGGCTCGAGGACTCGTTCACTCCATGTTGAGGGAAACACTCAGTTACACGAAAGAAGCTCGAAGCTCTTTTCTTTTCGTCATTTCAGCTCATTTGTTGTTCAGCTGTCAAGTTACATGTAGCCGCGTCACCAACGTGCGCCCGATCGACACACTTCCGTCGCAAAACTGTGACGTCATATACAAAAATCTGCCAATACAGAAAAACAAAACTTTAAAATACTTTTAAAAAAAATGTTACATTTAATTCTGATTGGAACTAAATCGTAAAACTTAATAACTCGATGTCTTTATTTGATGCTGCTGGGATGTCTGCAGTCTCGTTGTAATTCCCACAATAGCCTGCAGAGGGCAACAAAGCAGAACTACGGCAGCTGCTACTTTTTATATAAACACATTTTATAAATTATATGTTTTATAGTAAAGATACATTATATATATATATATATATACATATAAATATATTCAGAGGTAGCTTCAGAGGTATTTTATACAATCGCGACAAACAACACACAATTAAACATTAGAATATAAATAACATACTAAGAGGGGGGACATAAAGAAGTTTGCATCCACGCAATAATTCACGTGGTGTGCAATCTGCTTACTATAGCACTTTATATTTATGTGTGTTGTGTGTGTGCTCTTATCTTTTTTTGGTTGTTCTTAACTTTATTCTATTCTTTTGTTTTGTATTCTATTCTATTCTCTTATTTTCCATTCTCTTCCTTTCTATTGTTATCTCTTTTTTTATATTCTATTCTATTATTCATGTTATTTTATTTTTAAAAAATGTCTATGTTCTGTTCTATTCTATTTTGAGTTCATACACTGATATATCTCCATTGATCCCACAATGTAATGTGCATTGAGTGACAAAAGAAGGCGCTGTGAGCCTCAAACATGACCCGTGGCTCTGTTTTTATTCAGAGCTGCTCCACATCCAGTGGGGAGAAGTGTGGAGCTGCCGCCGGCTGGTGTTCATTGTGCTGCTGGTTGGCAGAATAGAAAACACACGCATGAGTAAAAATAGTTTGAGCTTGTTCTGGAGTGATGTTTCAGGAGACTGCTGGGTCGTAGGGATGGACAGGATGTGGCAGAAGTAGAACATCTCAAGCTGCTGGATTTTAACTTTTGTCCCAGGACACAAGTAGAGGTGAGTGTCTCCTTATTATCAGTTTATTATTAGACGAGGAAGAATATAGAATATACAGAATTGAAGAGATGATTCCATTTTTCTCATTTCATCAAAATATTTAACTTTGATGTAGTTTCTGTTGATCTTTAGTGAGTAATTGGCTTTAACAAGATGTATTTTATTTTAATCTATAAATTCAGTGCCAGTTGTTGTGTTAGACTTGAATTCACGTTGTGGTGCATTAAGTCTGTGATCTGGCAGATGTGTTTAATAAGCTTGTGTATCATATTGATCACATCTGTCTAATCTGAAAATCTCCGTTGTATAACTTCAGGACAATATGTTTGCACTTAATAGTTTTCTGGATGCTTTACTATATATAAACATGTTTGAAGCATCTCATTGAAGACAGGAGACGATCTGACTCTGGGTGAAGGGAAAATGAGAATGTAGCTTAGCTCAGCCTCTCAGTATCACTGCTGGATCAACAGGTGTAGAAACTATAGGAGAGTTTGAGTTGGGCTGATGAATGAAAACTGCTTTTCCACATCAGAGCACCACTCTTCCATCTCCCTGTTTAATGAGCAATGAAGACAATGGTGATCCAGGCTTCCTGTAGGAGAGGTCTGCAGGTGTGTTTACTCCTGCTGCTGCTGGGACGACTGCAGGGTGAGTGGATGAGAAAAATGTCAAATCAAGACCGACACATTTAAACTGGAGTATTGTTTTATGTACAGTATGTAATTGACCTTAGGGTGGATGTGTCAGGCAGGGTCACAGCACCAGAGCGTCTGGAGGCTCCGGTGGAGAAGCCCTTCACTCTGACCTGCAGTGTCTCGAGGGAGCGAGGTGAATCCCTGAGGCAGGTGCGTTGGCTGGACGTCCAGAACCAGACCCTGCTGAGCTACCAGCCCGGACACAGAGACAGCGTGAGTGGACAGCAGCACGTGGAGCTCGCCTCCTCCCCAAAGGACACCTCGGCCATCACCATCCGCAGGGTGGGCTTCCGAGACGAAGGCTGCTACACCTGCATCTTTGACATGCATCCCTCGGGTTCAAAGCAGGGTCAGACCTGTCTCACGGTCACCTGTAAGTAACGATGACTTTAATTTTTATGATTTAAATGCAGTTTTGGCAAACACCCATATGTTAATGTTTAGATAATCCTAATATATGTATTCAAGAAGATGGGTTTTCAGCCTATGATGTCCTGTTGTCTGTTTGATCCAGAATTAATATTTTTCATCAGTTTTTTGGGGTTTAAGAGATTCGTTAGAGAAAGCTAGGAGCCATTAGTGAGAAATAACACAGCCGAATAGATTCTTACTTGACAATAATAAAATGACTGAATTAAATTCACCTTTTAATGCTGGATGAACTCTTGGATGCCCGCCTCTTGCCCCTCTCCCCATCAAAACTAAACAAAAAGCAACAGACTCCAGGGATATTTACTCCTCCCTACAAGACAAATATCAATCTGCTGTGGGGATTTACTGAGAAAATATGTGCATACACATGTCCTTAACCACTCCTAACCTCTGAACACAAGTTGATGAGTCTGTGGAGGCTCAGCCAGTCATGTTAATAAAGAGCTGGAGCACAGGGAGAGGGAGGTCTCACTAACCAGGAACAGCTGCTGCAGATTCCACTGACTGGTTTATGTTTGGGTGCCTCATAGTTGTGGATATTAACCATGTTCTGTTCTTCACCCTCTGTCTCCCTGTTTCCTCCCCCATCCCTCACTCTGTCACTGGACTGTGGCCCTTTGTTTCACTCCCAGCACATGTCACCGCTGACAGCAACAAGACGGCGGTGAATGGCAAGAAGGCGTCTCTCTCCTGCTCTTACGGTTTGCCCGAGAAGGTGCAGCAGATCTCGTGGAGATACACCCCCGCACAAGGAGAGTCCGCAGACGTGGCCTCTTTTGCGAAGCGCAGTGACCCCATGATTGAGCCATCGTACCAGGGGAGGGTCTGGCTCAGTGCCTCCCTGTCCGACAGCCAGCTCACCATCCAGCCCGTCACCATCCAAGACGAGGGCTGCTACACCTGCCTGTACAACACAGATCCTGACAAACCAAAGAGCTCCACAGTTTGCCTCTCCACCTATGGTAAACATAGGTTTTCCCAGCAATCAATAATAATTTCATATATGATAAGATGCATATGGAAATATAGTGGTTGTGCAAAACTGGAGCTGCCATTGTGGAGCAGGTTAAGCACAATATACCGGGTGTAGAGCCATGCACCATGTTTAGACTTTTTCAATACTGTCGGAATGCAAGTTTTGATGCTCATGTGTATGTTATACAAGTGCAGTTAGTTATCATCATTCCTCCTGCTCAAACTCAAAAAGCTTCCAATAACAGAAGCTTATTTAGGAAATTATCTTTTCCTTGTTCTTTCAGTCAGAGAAGAAGATTGATACCAGTTTCATATCTCCAGAGTTAATATGAATATTTGGAACAACAGTTTTGATTTCCAACATCTTACTCACTATTCAAAGGAATCACAAACCATCCCTTTGTCGGGAAACATACATGTCTGCAACTAATTTCTGTCCCTGACCCACCAGGGATTAATTCCTTGATGAAAAAAAATCAGGCACATTTAGGGAAGTGATGGTGTGTGATATCCTCTACTGAGTGCCATCATCTTTTAACAATACAGAAAGAGGGGAAATCTAGATCCAACCCTTGATCAAATCTGCTACATGTTTAATTGGTTCTTCTTTGGCCCATTCCCCACATCTCCTCCAAGTTTCAAGAAAATCAGTTTTGTAGTTTTTTTGCGTGAATCGGCTAAAAGTCAGACAAACTCTCAAACAACAATGAAAACGTTGGCAGAGGGAATAGTTTTTCTTTTATAGTTTTTCAGATGCTTGGTAGCAGCCAGTCTCCTGCAGTAGATGCAGCTGCCACCTATAGACCAGCACCTGTGGAAGAAATAACATGCGAGGAGACGTAACCCCTCGGATTTAGACAGGAATGTTGATCTTTCCTTCCTGATGATAGCCGCTGAATACTTTCATGATACAGCAGCAAAGCTGAGCTGTCGGGTGATTTGTTAACACAAACACAGAGCGGTGTGTGTGTCCACGTGAAGAATGGGCCATTGGAAAAAGAATGATGGAGGCAGGGAGCGAGCTCCTGATGCATGACTGTGACAGTGTTGGAGCAGACACTGATTCCCTCTGTGCGTTGTCTCGCTCTCTTTCTGCCCTCTCGCGTTCCCACTTTTTCTCTCCCGCTCCCGTTCTCTCTCAGTTATCTCAACAGACAGATGAGCTTTTGTTTGAGATGTGAACTGTACAGTAGCCTACAGTAGGTGTTTCTAATAGCGAGGCTCCATTAGCATTAATGTTTTTTTCTTCTTGCAGCTCATTGCTCTTCCACCCTCATCCCACTCTGGATGATGTGATCCCCTCCCTCCCTCTCTTCCTCTCTCCCTCCCTCCCTCCCTCCCTCCCACACACACATAAACACACATACACACACACACACACACATTATTCTTGTTATTCACCGAGACAGGTGACTGTGTGACCCCAGATTGTGTGTGTGTGTGTGTGTAAGTCCATGAGATGCAGTTTTAAATCTGTCTACATGCACTAGACATGTCCAAGGAAACAATGTTAATCTTTTGAGAAGGTCATAAAATTATATTTGAATTATGTAAAGATTTATTAAGGTGGTTACAATCTTCAACCTCACCACTAGATGCCACTAAATCCATCAAACTGGTCCTCTGATAGAAATATTTGTTTTATTCCTTTGTGAATTTAAGAGTTGTAAAGTAGAATAAAAAACCCTAACATTTGTACATTTATACATTTTATATATTATAACACCAGCACAGAATATCATAAATCCAATGTTAGAATAAAGAAAAGCTTCTGTTCTGTGGAATGTAACTCAGCGCTGTAACTCTTATCTCCTTCACTGGGCACTGTGGTTTGGATTGTTATCAGAGTTTCTTCCTGTTGTTCATTCAACCCCAAATTTGACACTGCTGCAGAGTGATGGCAGACGAAGTTCATTGCTTAGAAACTTTGAGAAGAAGAAGATGAAACTATGAGGGCCAAATATATGTGGCTGCATGTGTTCTTGCCAACAACAATGTTCTCGGTTTCAGTGTATCACATTCCTCGCTTACCCCAGAGAACAGAAAATTGAAAACAGCCTCAGATTTACTTATGGATCTTAAGTGTGCGGGAACTCACATACCGTAACTGATCCAGAGGCTTCAAGGTCTTTCCCAGGTATCATCTTAGCAATTTGCCCAAAGACACTTTCCAAATACTCGAACACAAACCGTACTACAATCTGAATTTGTAAATTAAACAAATATGTCCACCCCTGACCACATATTAAAACTTTTCCTCTACATGTCCCACAGTGCTGCCCAAACCCCAGGTGAGCTACAAGACCACCTCTCCAGGAGTGATCGAGGCCAACTGCACCTGCGTGTCACGTCCCCCGGCAGAGATCGTGTGGAACGTGGAGCGAGATAACCGCACCATGGGCCCCCCTGTGACCACACAGCTTCCGCAGGCTGATGGGACCACTCTGATCATCAGTACGTTGACTGTGAAGTCAGGGCTGCTGAAAGACGTGTCTGTCAAGTGCCTGGTGCACCACAAAGGCCTGGAATCCCCGATCGCTGTTTCCATGAACACTAAAAGTGAGTTGGCGGCGGTAAAGCTTCACTTGTGGAACTGCATCTTCTTTTGTCTGGGGGTGAACTTAACTTAACTCTACACATCATGATTTCCACAAGTAAAGACCACTAGTTAACCAGAATACCACTAAGAAAACTCAAAAACACAGTTCTGTTCTTGACTCAGAAAATTCAGTCGAGTCAGAACGACAAATTGAAAGTCTGAAAATTTAGCTGCACAAACTGACAGGAAACGGGGGGTGCCATCGGGGGAGAGGTCAGGAGACAACTACAACTATATAAAGTGTCCCTGTACTTTTGCTTGGCTGATAAAGCCGAGCGCAAAGCACTATTCTATTCTTCCACGCATAAACACAACAAGTGTTGTTTACAGCATTCATGTGTTGTGCACATTCTGACTTGAAAGAACATGAACACATCAATTTTATCGAGCACCTTAAAACCTCAATCTTAACTCCATCATGCCTTATTTTACTTTCTTTCTCTTCCTCCAGTTGGAACAGCTCTCACCATCCTGATCTCAGTCACCACAGTAGCAGCTCTGTTGGTCATGTCCCTGTGCTTCTGCCTTTGGAAGTGTTTCCTGCGCAAAGAAGGTGAGTGTGTATAATGACAAATGATTGCTTTGTGTCAAGGTTTGCACAGAATAGTCTAAAGAAAATTGTTCTTATTCTCAAATATATCGATTATTTTCTTTAGATTTAATGAAACAGCAGTCTATGTTTATTTTTGGGGTGGCAATGTTTCCAAGAATGTGCAGCGGTATGCTGCAGTAAACTCTAGAGGAGTAATACTGTGCCTTTCTTCATTCTTTCCTGGCTTGAACAAGAAATTATTAGAAAATCGATGAAATGTAATATTTAGGACTCGATCGCTATTCTAGCTTTTGACAAACTGCAATGATGCAACTGAAACAATAAAAATGGAACAATGGCCCATTGGGTTGAGTAGCATCACAAGCTTTAATCACTGGTTGTGATATCAAAAGCCAGAAGGTAAAAACTCAGAGGGCCTAAGGGGCATCCTGTTTCTTAAAGTTGCACCAATCATGTTTTTGTTGTGTTTTGGATCATATGGCTGCATGTGTGGGTTGAAACGAAGGTCAGTGAGGAACCCACAAGAATATGATTGGACTTTGCAGTTGCCTTTCAGAACATGACAGCGACGTCTACCTGCACTCAATCTGCACTTTTCTCACAGTCAGTCGCTGCTCTGTCTGTGTACAGAGAAAATAAAGATAACGGTGCCTCAGCTGAGCAGACGACTGAAACACAATCTGGAGGGATGAAGTCTGGCACGCACAGGGAAAGTTATGTGAAAGTTAAATAAACCATGAAATTAAGGGTATTTGCTTTTATGGTTTAGTGGCAGAGAAGAACTGATGCTCTTCATACTTTCCTGTCCTCCTATTGGCTCACAGACCCCGGGGTCCTTATACACAAGGTCTGCAGCTGGAAGCTGCTCCCACTGCCACAGCCTCGTCTAACTGAAAGTTATAAAAAAAACTGTCCATGTTTCACATCATACACTTCTTTCAAATCAATATGTGAATGAAAATCTAGGATACCCAACCCCAGCCTGTCGGGACTCATCGGAGACACATTTTTGAAGGATATTTGGGTTGGGGTCATGTTTGCTGGGTCAAAATACCTCAGTTTTTACACTGTACATGTCAGTAATCAAAGAAAACATGTATAACCATGTGTGTCAGGGACAAGGTGACACAAACTGAATCGGGTTTGGACAGAAAAATCCTTGATTTTAGATATGCTGATGTGATGTCTCATCATTTTTCTTTACAAGCAGCACTTCAAAGATGAACAGATATGAAGAGGGATTTTTATTGATTTGTTTCGATTGTTTTCTTTGGTAGTACGCCAGATATGAAATTCGATTTTCCTTTAATAAACCATAGAAAGAACTTTGGGTGCTTTGAAATGTTTCTTCCATTTTGTGTCATTACTCCTACTGCTCTTTTCACGCGTTTCGTTTCAGCTGATTAATTTTCCGAGTCTGAACAGCAGAGGCAGTGCTTCTCAGATCGAACGTTGCAGAAGTGATTCCAGACATCCTCCTCCTCCTCATCATCATCATCACCTTGGTACAAATTGAAGATGGTCTGACACACCTCTGTGGCTGTGTCCAACACAATCCTACACATGAGATCCGACCGTTGGACGTTCAACTCTGCTCCTCTGCATCTGACTCTCACATAATCTCCAGGCTGTGTTCACTTGAAGTCTGTGGACTGGGTCATATTTATTCTCTGTAATGGATGAGTCGCTGTATGGTCAATTAAAGTACAGGAACTTCTCTTTGACAGCAGGTTTCTTTTCCTTAAAACACTTTCCTCTGTTTGTCACTGGTGTTTAAATGATGTTAAAAGAAACATGTGTGGTGATATTTTATATTTTTCTTATTCAAACAAATCCTATTCAAAAAGATCAAAAACAGATCAAAGAGCCACATGATGCACCAGTGGCATGAATGTGGGAAATGTAGTTTAGTTTTAAGTTGATCCCATAAACACCATTCTGCTTCTTTACATTTTCACTGGCTCACAAAATGACTGTTAATCCCAACAAATTCCACGATTTATCCCACGACTGTTTGTGTACAATTAGCTTAAACTACAGAATGAAAATATTTATCTTGGTATTTATCTTTTTGTTATGCTGAATCTATATATATATTTCTGTATGCCCTACTTTTAAAGATGTGTCTCAGTTAGTTTCACTTCCTTCACCAGACTATAGACTGTGTAGAAAGATGGACGACATGAGAGCTCCCTAACCCTGTCTGCAGTGTTGGTCATAAATCCAACCTCCTCCATGTTAGTAGATGGGACATGGGCCAAAGTACACATCAAATAACATTTTTCAGAGATGGTTTCTTCCTTTTTAGTTAGTTCTTATCACACTGATGTATGTTCAAGTGACTCAGTATATTGGTTAAGCGTGTCCATCGCTGTCCCCCTTATACTTCGGCTCAATCCTCCAATTGTGTCTGTGCAGACTCCGGCAGTATTTGTGTTTTTGTTTGAATTTTTTGGCTTGATTTCTGGATAATGGGAGGAGGTGGAAACGTCATCCATTGTAGAGATTGACTTGTGTTTTGTTTTATATTTTCATAGGATTTTTGACTGTAGGAAAAATATTACATATATAAATGTAGAATAACACAGCTAAGGGATTGATTTTTCCTCTTCTTGTACCTCAGTCGATGATCTCCTTCACTTTTGTGTTTTGTGAAAGCTGGGAGGGGTCATGGGTAGATGCCATCAGATAAACTAAAAAGGCTGCACGCTAATTTGTTTGCGTATCAACAGAAAACTTTTCTACATGTTGTGTGAGGGTGCATCTGTGTGTGTGTGTGAGTGAGAGAGAGGGAGTGTAGAGGTTAAATTCCATGAACAAATAGCTTGAATAAATTCCCTGAAGAAGAAATGCTGAAACCTTTTCTGGTGCCTCTAAAAGAATGCGTGTCTGTCTACATCGAAAGAGTCCAACGAGTTCCTGTGGGTGACCTCAGGTTAGGCTGTGAAGGGGTGTAGAGAGTGAGCGGCCTTGTGGTTTTAGAAATTACTTAAGTGCTGCAGGTTGAACACGTTAAAGAGAAACTCCACGACTCCTCTAAATATACTTGAACAAAACCCCAAAAGCCGGCTTCAAGCACCTCAAGTATACTGTAAATATGCTTTGTGGATATATAAAATGCGTATTTGTACTGTACATGCTTTTCAAAATGTATTGTTGCATGTAAAATAGATAAAAATCTGTCAGTTATGTATCGACAGAAGAATTACATACAGGTTTTCAGACTATTATAGACTGTAATTCAGTCATATGATTTTTCAGTAATAACATGATTATCAGTCGTGTGGAGCTTCAGTATACTGATTATGAGTCCAGTCCTGTACAGAGCAAAAAGAGAGTACTAGTTATGACCAACTATTTAAACTTGATATAATAAATGCAACAAACAGAATAATAAAACTTAAAACCTATCAAGTTTCTGAATCTTTTATCATTTTTAACATCCTGCCAACTTCTCTGCTAGTTTGGCTCAGCTTTTAAAAAACATAAAAGTCTTCTGTGCCTTGTCCACACCTGCCGGCCAGATGCTCATTTTATAAGGCCCTTTTCATCCTCTGCCAAGCGGGTTATGGTGGACCATGCAGAGCACACACACACACATGCTTTGCTCACACTTACTGCTGTGTTCTTATGTGTTCAAAAGCTCTGAGATGACACAGAATATTTGTCAGTACAGTTTAAGTAAAGTAAAGAGGTATGTATGTGTAAGATAAATACATATCGTAAAACAGCTAGAAGAAACAGCAGAGTGGGCTTAATATAACGAAGTGAAAGCGATTGTTGACTTGGTGCCTTTGTGGTGCACCATGCAGTTGACACATATTTCTGCAGCATGTGTGCGCGATGTGTGTTTTTAGAAAATGCACATGCAGTGTCAGGTACGTGACATATTTTTTCATGTAGGTTTGTGGAGTATGAGTGTGCAGGTCAGGCTGTGGTGAAGTGAAGAGGTTACAGTAACCTGTGAAAAAAGGGTAATAAATTGAATCAACTTCTCCTGTTACTTGAGAGCTGCAGATGAGCCACTCTGATCCTCTGAAGTGCCCTTTAAAAAAATACCGGATGAAAATAAAAGATAGAAACATTTTAATATAAATTTAAAAAATGTAAAATTAATAACTGCCTCTTTTATTTTCTTTTATTTTTTGGAACTTGGTCATGTCATGGCAGTCCCAAACATGAATCCAAGACCACAAGCGTTCTGCTTTTCTGAACAGCTCATTCAATGCTGCGGACTGAGTCCACACACTCTGTCACTGACCCCAAGCTCGATCGTATCAGGCTCGTGTGTGTGTGAGAGAGAGAAACAGAGAATGAGAGAGGTGTGTGTGTATGTTTGTGGGGATGTAAAAGCTTTCTTGGAACAATAATTGTGATAATAAAGTTTTTTTATTTATTTTATACAAAAAATATACAGAAAATCCACTGGACTTATTTTAAAGCCTCTACCTCAATGATGTTGACAATTTAAAAAATCAGGAAAAACAATGTAGGATGCAGAAATGATACAAATAATGTGTTTGATAAAAACAATAATATTAATATCAATATAAAAACTCCAACATGTGGTAAGGAGATTTAATGTATGTTAGGGATTGACCCTAACATCAACCCTTGAAACTCTGGGTGTGAGCAGTTAGTCTGGGAGAATGGAGGAGCAACAATGAGACCAGAAATCCAGGAACGTGGTTCAGAGTTCTCATCTCACTTCCTCACAAGATAAAGAAAGATACACGGCACCGATACACACAAACTCACAGACAGACAGGAGAGTTCCCAGCCCACAGACAAAAAGGGCCACATGCTTCAAACAATAGCTTTAAATAAGTTTGGGTAAAACCATCCCCTAAAGAGAAAAGGTCAAATGAAAACAATTTAAGCAAACAAGAATAATTATAAATTGCTTTAACTTAATACAGTAAAGAGTACAATAACTTTACAACTATTTATTAAGACTAGAGTTAATATGACTGAAGGCTAGGAGAAGAAGAAAATACAAAAGAAAACCAGTAGCTCCCTCCCCCATTCCTACATGGTTTAGTCCACATTGAAACCACCTGGTGGAGATGTGGCATTCATGTGCACCAGCCTCAACCAGGAATATGGATATATTAATTTCAACAAATACATTAACAGCAAAGTGGATCCTAATTTAGTTGACAACACAAACAGAGAAACAAATGTTCTCAACAGAAACCAAATATTCACAATGAATAAACAGAGAGCTGACCTGACTGGTGAGGGAGTGAGCTTCCTCACAATGTATCAGGAAGAATGAAAAGCTTTACCTCTTCCTGAGAGACAGAATCCACTGAGCATCATTTCTAATGAGGGGTTGCAGGTCTAGATTTGTTTCAAGGGCTCACATGGGAACCAGTAGTCAACTGTGACATATTGTCTTAAGTTGGTTTGGGAAATTCCTCATCGTTCCTTCCCTCTCTTTGTTTTCTGGAATCCACCAAGGAGCTATTTGTCTGTCTTTAAGCAGGACTACGCAAAAGTTGGTGAATCGTCTTCTGTGAGATGGATGCTGATGATGAAGATGATGATGCTGGACTCGTAAAGATGTTTTCTCATTATCTGATTTCTTTTTATCATTTCACAGACCAGATTGTTGTTTCTCAAACATATTTTGATCTCCAGTGAAACGGAGGAATGAAGGAATGCAAAAATAAATCTTAAAGACATCACATCTGCTGCGTTGAAAAAAACAAAGTACTTGCACTTGTCACAGATCAGCCCGAGGGATCATATTCAAATGCTGAGTAATTGTTTTTTAATACAAACTGCTGAACAAAGCTTTGGCTGACAAGTAAAAAAAGAAAAACTCTTAAGGTCCTGTAAATGAAATGAATGAGGAAAAAAAATCACATAAGAAGATGCTAATAATAAGAAGCAGCATCAGCTGGAACAAATGTGGGGATGAGAGAGCAAATAAAATCCAGCTTCTACTTTGTTGTAGCATCTGCACGACCACAAGCCTCCTCCATGCACCTCCTCGGCAGTGATCGTGTAACCTCTGCCTGTTCCACCACACCATGCTGTACACTTGTGTGAACATGTTTCCATTCATGTCTATAATACATTTAAAAAAACATCTAGGAAACTTTGACGCCAGCATTCTCCGTTTTTTTTCCTTCAGAGGCAGCATGCTGGTTTCTGACAGGTCTCCCTGCCTGTGTATGGTCGATGGTGGTGTACATGCCTAAAGGCTGGTTCCCACTGGTGATGACGGTCGGTGGTGTCCCTGGAGAGTGGAAGTTGTTCAGACCAAACATGACGGGAGTGGAAGGAGTGCTCCACTTGGGCAGGTCAGGCATCATACGAGTGGACATTTGCTGTGACACCAGATCAAGATTAGTTGAGACAATGAAATGCTCCAGATTGACTCAATTAGACTATTATCTATCTATCATCCATCCACCCATCCATCCATCCATCCATCCATCCATCCATCCATCCATCCATCCATCCATCCATCCATCCATCCATCTATATACGAGAACAGAACATGTTCTCCTTTAAATTAGCAGCACCAATAAATGTTACCTCTGCCTTTGTTGACTTGTGGGTCAGAATTTCTGCGAAGAGACAAATCACAAATTGTTTATGTTGTAAAATCCAATCTTCTTACAGTCTGATCCAAAATGTTAACAAGTGTTAATGTTCTTACGTTTCCAGCAGTAAGAACTCAGGAGGGTTATTGCCGATAATGTGAAAACCAGAAGAGCGATGCTGGCACAGATTAAGAGGTAAGGCAGCCAGGACTCAGTCTCAACACCAGGAGTGGTCAGTGACTGTTCTACAAAAAAAAGAACCAGATCAATAAGTCTGTTTTGATTCAAATGTATTTAGAATAACTGATAAATAAAGTTTCTTACTTGCGGCAGTGTGAGTTTGCGCAGCCTTCTGATGTGTGCCTGATCAGAGCGATAGGATAGAATGAATACTTATGACATATTACATGCATGTTGTGACAATGAAGGAAAAAAATGTACCAATACCTGAAACTGAGATGTTGATGGTGTGACTGATTTCGTGATATCCATTTTCTTTTAAATGACATCTGTACTGGCCGCCATCTTTCGCAGAAATTCTTTTGAAAGTTAAACTCGAGACCAGTTTGTTTCTCCCTCTGTCTCCTGTCTGACTTATTATTACATTCCTTGTGATTTTAATCTGTTCACAGACGTTTGTGTCCAGTATTTTACACCACATGACGTTCATTGACCTGCCACAGTGTTTGACCGGACAGTTGATCGTCACCCGGTCACGTGGTGCTTTTCTCAGCACCGTGCCTCTCCGCACCATCAGCCCAACTTCACATGTAGGAACCATGCCTGAAATTTAACAAAATGAGAAAAAGGAACATTTATTTAATTGGAAAGAAACTGAATAACTTCCAAAAATATTATTCCAGATAACAGGAATAATGTTTCCTTTGAGGGTGGAGATATTTCTATTTATGTATTCTGTGATCTATGTTGTCAAGTTCCTTATATGTACACACACGGCACAACCCAATATATACATTCATATTACTCTTGAACACGTTTCTTTTTATGAAATTATACAGCTGCCAAATTACATAGTAAATACTGTTTACATACATGATTTTCAAGTCACGGATGTAGCAACAACCTGTATATACTTACAGGGAACTTAGATGAAAGTTTTTATAGCTTATGTTTTACAAATTGATTTTAAAAACAAAGATATTTATAAGATATATGTTTAAATATATATTTTTTCAAACATTACATCACAATTTTATGGTCCCAACTATTTCTGTTTGGATTCCTACCTACAGCAGCAATGTAATAAAAAAACTAGGTCACAATTATAGAATTTTTTTAACTTTAAAATAATTATATGTTTGATAATTTCCTTGCAGTACCAGAACTGTTATATAACGCTCATGCTAAGGTTGTTGGATTTTGTAATTATGACTTAGATACTGAGAAAAAATACTGTTGTTACCCAATTATTTGTCCTTTTCTGTCGTACGTATGTACAGGTAACTAGCAGGTATTCTATATACACCTCATACCTTTAATGATTACACAGAAATCCCTACCATTCCACTTTTGTCCAATTAATAGCTGTAGTCTATTTGAAATATTCCCTCAGACTCACCTTCAGGTCTTCCATAGATGGAAACAGAGAGGTACAAGATCATCAGATAAGTGTATGAGGGTCTGTCCATGTTCATGACCTGAAACTTCACGAATGACTTAAGACGGCAGCGACTGCAGGGGCTCAGTTCACTCGTTAGCTCACTCACCACTTCCTGAGCACCAACGCATCTTCCCTAAGACCATCGTACATGTGGGTATTTCAGTGTGTCATGTTTCAGTATGTCGTGTTTCCAAGCTACATGTGTGAAAACTGTGATTCTGTAGTTAATCCAGATTTATATATATTTATATATACAAATAATCTCACAACAGAGACTACACATGTAGCTTTTAATCTCTACTGTCAGAGTATTTTACATACAACCACATTGTACTGACAATGACTCAGGTAACCATGGAGCCCAGCAGGAAGTTAAATCAAGACCTTGACCTTTGATGCCTGTTTTTCCAATAAGTGACAAATATTGACTGAAATCTATTCTACACAAAATAACATGGAATATGGTGAATTTCTACCATCGGTAAAGTCTTAAAAACAGTGAAGAGACGATGAAGCTGTGCTGTGGCCTGGTTCAGTAATGTTCAGTCTAAAACTATACAGCAGTCATTTGTTTTGTGACAGTCGATTCATATCCACTGCATCATTTTGTGTTTCATCAGCTGATTATTGCTGCTGTACACTGACACTGTAAAAACAAGGTGGAGGGATTGTGTTACTTCCGTTACTCAGATGTATAAATGTCAGTCACTTTTCTACTGTAGACTGAAGTCTTGGTGAATCAGACTTTTCCAACAGCTCCCTCCAGTGTTTAATAAAGAGCCTGCAATGATTGCATATGTAGAATCTTGCAACATCCTCCTCGTATTGAGCTGCTTTTCTCCTCTAAAACCTCCAAAGCTGGTTGATTTTACTGCACTGTGCATATCACAAGTGTCTAATTGATCACGACAACCACTGCACCCATTGACGTCTATTTCTGACTGTTGACAAAGATGCAGTTTGTGAAGTAAACTGGACTTTCACAGAAAGTGAAAAGAAGTGAGTAACTTCCTTATTTTCTCTCCTCAAGATGCATTTCAATTCATTTTGCAAAATTACGCAAATGAGAGTATAAAGCAACGAGAGAACTCGAGCTTCTATTTGCACAAATACAACTTCCGTCAATGCACGTTTCTTCAGATACCTGCTACTAACAGTTCTGCCACTGACACATGAAAGAAAGGAGGAAGGAAATGACAATTGAAATTTGATTTAAAAATAAAAATGTTCAATATATATTTGTGTATCTGAGACTTACCCCTACAACATGAATGCATGCATTTTCGTGTGTGTATGTGCGTGCGAGCATGTGTGCACGCGCACGTGTGTGTTTGTGTGTGTATACAGGAAATAAAAAAAGCAGTCTCAACTCTCTCATTCTCTCTCTCTCTCTCTCTCTCTCTCTCTCTCTCTCTCTCTCTCTCTCTACTGCGGCCTGTGTGATCTCAGTCAGAGATCAGTGATATCAGTGTGTGCTACAGTGCCAGGCTAACAGATACCTTCAGCCATAGGCACCTGCTGGCAAATACATTGTGAGCGTCCAGAGTCCGTGGAGTCATCATGGGAAACTGCACCTCAGGGTAAGTCATTATCCTCACACACGGTACACAGACCACTTACACTCGCACAACATTTCACTGTCTGATAATTATCCTCTAGAGCTCCACAGATGGAGAAATTCCAAAGTAATGTGGGTAAGAACAATTTAAGGCAACAGTATGAGAGAGGCTGTTGGTTCTTGGTTAAATGAAGCTGGTGCATTGTGGCCCTGTGGTGAGACTTAAAGGGACAGTGTGTAGAATTGTGTTATATCTACAGTTGAAATTGCATGTTGCAGCTGAACACCCCTCATCTGACCCTCTCCACATGAAAAAGAACCTGTGGTAGCTTCAGTTGTCATAAAAACTCAAAAGGTGTTTAGTTTGTCCAGTCTGGACTAATGTAAAAACATAGAGAGGGTCCCCTCCATGTAAATATAAAGTATTTCAATACAAAGGGTCTTTTCTGGGGTAAAGAAAACTTCAATTCATACAATGTAGATGAAATGAACTAGTGAAAACATCTTGAGGATTATTCTACTTTGAATTTCTGCCAATAGTTCCCTTTCACCTAAATCTTACACACTGGACCTTTAACTTAGTAACCGTGCACTACATTCTGTATTTGTATTGGGAGATGTTGACCTTAAAGAATGCAAGTTTCCACAACGTCCTGTAGTCTATGACATAAACAGTTGCTCTTTTATCAATGTGGGTTGTAGACTTAGGCAAAGTGTTTCCTGTTCTAGCACACGCTGCCATTTGTTGAGCTGTCAAGGAAATGCTGCTGCGGTCAAACGCTACACAACTGAAAAGCAGAAGATATTTTAGGTTTTTGCTATTTCAGGATATAAAAGTCGAGCTAAACCAGCTAAATAATAATTAACATTTACAGTCTTTTAAATAAATGTACCACACATTAATGTCTGGATAACTGTGTCCTTATTCGATTCATATAATTTAATTTTGTTTTACTTCCAGGACAAAGAAGAGCAGAGAAGGTAAAACTACACTTAGGAAAGCATTGTTGTCATTTATATAAATCTATTTGTTGTTTTTATACATTTTTATTTCCTCCTTCAGATGAGTCTGCCCCAGATGATAGAAACCACACAGATAATAAGGTACGTGGGCCCACAGTAATGTTGAGTTAATCATTTATCGAGCATGAATCTTCACAGTTATTCAGCTGCAGCTCTTCATAGGACACAGTCCTCCAGTTTCTGTGCTTTTATGATGACCTAGAAATAGATCATACCACATCAGATTTGCATATTAGGTTCTTCAATTCACAGGAAGTTATAGCAGTTAACCAAATATGCTGTTGCTATATATGCTGTATGAAAAAAATCAGAAAACTATTTTTGGCATATGTTCAGGAAGATAGATTTCAGGTAGGTTAGTTGTAGTTTGTTCATATATTTATTCATTTGAGCAGTCACATGACCTGACAGGTGACCCCTGATCTCTCTGCTTTGGAGGTAACTCGTGGGAGCATTCACATTTTTTATCTCTTGACAGCCGGTCGAGGATGTAACGTATGCCTCCATCGACCACAGCACTGCCAAAGGATCAAGAACAACCAGAGCTGTATCTGATGACGACTGTGATTACGCCACAGTTCAGGTCCCAGCAGCACCCGAACCCGAGTCTGAGTCTGAGCCCTCATTAAGAGATGAATGTGCAGATGATTATGTGCTGATGGGGTGAATATGAAGTTCATTTGGACCATTCCCAGAGGACTGGCAGATGGTACCATAAACATGCATGTCTGCAGTTTGACTGAGAAGAAATCTTGATTTTCCATGAAGATAATGTGACAAAATGAAAAAACAAAAAACTTTTATAACAGCAGCCGTGGAAAAATCAAGACCTGACATGTTTCTCTTCAGGGATTCTGACGTCTACATTCACCTGTGGTGTTTCTCTCTCAAGAAGAGACATGTGTCTGGCCTCTTTACAGCAATTATTGGGAAGCATCAGACTCGAGGACCTGAAGATGCCAAAGGATTCATCTGTTCTGTGCACGTGTGTGTGTGTGTGTGTGTGTGTTATATTCAGAATTACTGCACACCACCTAGAAAAAGATATTTAAGGGCAAGAATTCCTGCAGCCTTGTGACATTAGCACATAATCTAAGCGTAAGAAGTCAAAGACAACTGAAATGCTGTGGAATTAAAAATCCATCCGTCCATTAATAATACCATTTATTCTGGAAGTGTTGCAGCGGGGACCGGAGCCAATCAGGTTGCGAGTGTGTTGCAGGGTGGACATAAAGAGACAAAAAGTCACATACAGTCAATTAGAGTCTCCAATCAACCTAAGCCCAGTCTGCTTGTCTCTAAACTGTGGGAGGGAACAGAATGACTTCGGCCGAAGCAATAATAAGAAATAAGGTATATCCCAAGAAAACAGGATGACCAAAAGCTGCTTTTCACAGAACCTGAAAAACCAAATTGAGTTCATGCTGTTTTAAGTACTACTGAGCAGATAAAGGTTGGATTTTTATCTACACAGCCTCAAACATTTACTCCACCAATAAGCAAAATTTCAGTTAAGCTCAGACTTCTAATGTTTGCACAATAAATTGGCGAAAACAAATCATGTGTGCAGTTCATGCTGCTGCCGCCTTATCACTATTCATTGCGACAAAAATGTAGTGTTGATAGAAATGTACACAGCACTTCCGATACTACTATGATTGCACGTCACTCAAACGTAATACATCTTATCTAAGAGTTGATCTAAATGTTTTGTTTATTTATTTTTTGTATGTGTGTGTGCAGAAAACACAGTCTCAGCTTGAATCTCACTGGATAATTTATATGTTTGAGTAAAATGGTATATTAAGTTGTAACTTACTGAAATTTGTCTTTGTTTCATTGTGGTTTTATTGATTTTTGTATTTTACTGATTAAAAGTTTACAATTTTGTTTGTTATTAATAATCTGCATTTCTGAAAACATCTGAAACATCTCACAGCAGTGACCTCTTTGACTTACAGTCAAACCATAAGCAAGATTCTTTGCTAGAGGAAATGATGTATTATATATATATATAGATATGTATTATAATACGTGCATTTGCATAATGTAACACAGATATGAATACTTCCCACACTCCACTTATTGTGATGCAGTTGTTTAAACGAGTATCCTTTACTTATCACTACTGCAGTAAGAATCTTAAAAGATAAAAGATGATAATCTCTGTTAATGTACAAATTATTATAACATCGAATTACAGCTCCTGTATTTCATCAGCAACATCAACAGTCTGTAGTTCTGTAGTCTGACACGTCCGGCTGAAGAGTTCAGCTAAAAGTTATTAATAATAATAATAATATAATATAACACACACACACAGAGCAATGGGCTGCATGTTTTGGAGCCGGTACGAGACATGAGGTGCTCCCCTGTTCCATCAGTCGAGTGTTTGTCAGGAAGGAGGTGAGAGGCTCTCCTCCCTCATCGAAAGACTAACTTCTCTTTCTTTAACTGCTTCTCCTCCACCTCTCCTTTTCTCTTCTTTCAGACCCTCAAAAAGAGCCACGTGCATTGAAGTGTGAACAAACGTGCAGCTCAGTTATAGATCGAGTTCACACGTTGAACATAGCTGGCATAAGGTTCCACTTCCTCCACATCCTCTATCTGAGTAACAAAACACAAAACAGCAGAGATGAACAAAACTTCACATGGTACAAAATAGAAATCACAAGAGTGAGTTACAGAGAAAATGACCCACCGGTGGAGATTTGGATGATGATGAGACAGACCGGTGGCATCGCCTTAACCAAAAGGTGAACACACAAACCATCAGTGACTCAATACAAAAAAAAATACTAATTTATGATCAAATGCAACTTCTTACCTCAACATTATGATTTTCTTTTGTGCAAAAACTGCAAATCCCACCAAAAGCACACTGATAACCACACCAATGAGGATGAGCAGAAAAGGAACGTAATCTGAAATGACAGAAAATATGAAACTTTCATTCATAATTTGACACTAACTCAGTGCCGGTATAATGTTCTCTTGCGGTGCAGCCTGACCTTTTCTGAGTTTTGGCGTCAGAATCTGCTCCTGTTGCCAGTACGGGTGCCTGACAGCACAGGACAGGTTCTGCGTGTCTGTGCCCTCGTCGAGCTCCAGACGACTTTCCACTGTAATGAGTTCGTCTGAGACACGCGTCTCCACAGACTGCGAGTCTCTGCTGTGAGTCCAGCTGATGTTGGCTGCAGGTTTTCCTCCTTCAGCTCTGCACACTGCCACCATCTTGTCCTTGCTGTGCTCTATCCAGGCTGACAAACTGGGAGGAACTGAGCCAGGGAAGACAGAAGAATGGCAAAAGTTTGACTTAAACACATAAACACGGACATAAACACACAAGTGTTATGTACAAATGTCAGTTTATTTAATCACACTCAACATGATAGAAACTCTTTACATTGAATTTATGCAATAAAGG